ACAAAAGCATTTGTTCAACTATGTTCATAGAAGCACTATTTGTAATAGCTGGAACCTGGAAACAATTTAGGTGCCCCTCAACGGAAGAATGGATAAAGAAAGTATGCCACATTTACACATTAGAGTACTACTCAGCGATAGAAAACAATGACATTTTGAATTTTGCATGCAAATGGATGGAAATAGAAAATGCCTTACTGAGTGAGGTAACCCAGACCCAAAAAGATGAATATGGTATGTACTCACTCATTAGTGGACTCTGGCCATAAACAAAGGACATTGAGCATATAGGTCACAAGTCTAGAGAAGCCAAATAATAAGGTGAACCTAAATATATATGGATATCCCATATATGGATTCCAAATATATATGGATATTATATATGGATCCTCTTAGAAATTAGAAGCAGACAAGATTGTTAGGCAAGGGTTAGGAGCATGTGGTTGGGGTGGGGGTGGGGTAGGGGAAGGAGAGAGGGGGAGAGAGAAAGGAGAAGGGAAGGATTGGGGAGAGCTTGGGGGAGTGGGAGGGTTGAGATGGAAGAAGGGCGAATATAGGAGCAGGGAAGAATATATCTTAATTAAGGGAGTCATTTTAGGGTTGGCAAGAGACTTGGCTCTAGAGGGGGTCCCAGGTGTCCACGGGGATTTCCCCAGCTAGGTCCTTGGGCAGCAGAGGAGAGGATGCCTAAACTGGCCTTGACCCACTATCACACTGATGATTATCTCGAATATCACCATAGAACCTTTGTCCAGCGATAGATGGAGGTAGAGACAGAGACCCACATCAGAGCATTGGACTGAGCTTCCAAGGTCCAGGTGAAGAGCAGAAGGAGGGAGAAGATGAGAAAAGAAAGTCTTGACCGGGAGGGATTGGTCCACCCACTGAGACAGTATGTCTGATCTATTGGGAGCTCACCAAATCCAGTTGTACTGGGACTGAATTAGCTTGTGATCAAACTGGACTCTGTGAATGTGGCTGAATGTGGCTGACAATGGGTGCTGACTGTCAAGCCCTTGATAATGGCACTGGGACTTGTTTCTATTGCATGTACTGACTTTTGGGGTCCCTAGTCTGTTTGGATACACACCTTCCTAGGCCTGTGTGGAGCGGGGAGGGCCTTGGACTTCCCATAGGGCAGGGTACCCTGCAATCTCTTAAGACTGAAGGGGGAGGGAGTGGGGAAGCAGGAGGGGAATGGGAGGAGTGGAGGAGGTTGAAATTTTTTAATGGAAAAATAAAAAAAAGAGACAAGGCATGAAATCTTCCGTTTTAGGGACAAATAGTAAATCATTTATGCAAGAGTGATTTGGGAGAGAAAACGTGGAAGGAGCCAAGAAAAACATTGCTAGAGTTAAGATTCACCCAGAATGGGGTTCGAGATTGCAGGAATACACATCACTTCACAGGAAGAAACCCAAAAGGCTACAGCAAAAGCTCTGTGTCAGGGCTGAGAGTCATCTCTCCAGATCCTTGGCTGCTGCTCACTAGTTCCCGAGCTATAAAATCGGTTGTTTTTTTTTTTTTCTTAATTCTTTGTCTGAGCCAGCACCTTAGAGACCCCACAAGAGCTTAAGTTTAAATCTTCAGCTTTGCCTGACAAATAAGTGGGACAGGCCCACCGACCTCCTTGACTAGACGTGATTTTTCTCATCTACTTTAGAATTTTTGCATCAATCAGTATCCATTTATTTTTCAAGAAATTATGTGATGAGGTGTAATTTTCCTGTTACCAACTTTTATAATTATTTTCCTGTTATTGAACGTTTTAATTTTACATTTAATCATTCATATCGTCATGAATTTTGAAGTCAAAGCCCATGCATTGCTCTAAATTGGTTAAGAAGTAAAGGAAGGGTTGGCTAGATGGTTCTGAGCGTAAAGGTGCTTGCTGCCAAGCCTGATGATCTGAGTTCAATTCCTGGAAGTCACACAGTAGAAAAAGAGAAATGACTCTTGCCAGTTGTCTTTTGACTTCTACACATCCATCATGGCATGCATATACCACCATCATATAAAATAAAGAAAAATGTTTAAAATTTTTAATAAAAAAGGTAATACAAAGAGAGGGAAAAAAAGAATCAATGGGTCACAAAACAAAACCAATACTCTAGGCTTTTAAAGTTATGATTGCTTACAAATACACTGTCCCTCAGAAAAAGGTTAGATAGTCTCAATTTCTTCTATAAGAAGAGAGGAAATAACCATCAGCATCATAATAGAAATATGCTTATCTACTATGAGCTTTAAATCATATACATATCATAGTACAGTAACTGCAGTAAATAAAAAGCAGTATACTTTTAAATATATTTTGCTCACTTGTTCTTTTATACTATTTTTAAACTCTTTCAAAACTTGCAACATTAATTGCCTAACATACTAAAAAGCATCTCATCATTATTATTGACATTAATATAAAATGTTTAATTATTCATAGTAAATTAGTGTATTTTAATTTCCATGTATGTGTTTTGTGGATGTGTGTATATGGGTGTGGTCCTTGGGACTGTATTAATAGCCTTGAACATACTAAGAAAGCACTCTACTTTTGTGTCTCTGACTATAATGGTAACAGTGATAAATTTTTATTTTTATGCACCCAGCCCCTCTCCCTCCTCTCCTCACATTCCCTCCCCAAACTCTACTCTGCCTCCCATGCCCATCCACTTCTTCTCAGTATCTCTCTATAAGAGGGTAGGCCTCCCCTTGGACATCAACCAAAATGGCACACCAAATTGCAATAAGACTAGACGCTGCCCCTCCTATTAAGGCTGAACAATCAAACCCAGTATGAGGAAAAGGGACACAAAAAGAAGGTAACAGAGTCAGAGACAGCACCTGCTCCCACTGTTAAGAGTCTCACAAAAGACCAAGCTGCACAAGTGTAAAGTATATGTAGAGGGCATAGGTCAGTCCCATACAGGCTCCCTGGTTGTTGGTTCAAACTCTGTGAGCCACTATGAGCTCTGGTTAGTTGATTCTGTGGGATTTCTTAATGTGTCCTGGTTCCTACAATCCTTCCTCCTCAACATCCACAGGATTCCCTGAGCCCTTCCTAATGTTTGGCTGTGAGTCTTACCATCTGATGGTAACACTATTATGTTAAGAAACTAGTTAACAAATTATGTCAAAAGTCCCAGATTCAAAGGAGGTGTTAAAAACTCAAATTCATATATATATCTTAAACTGGGATAAGAGTTTCCCAGCCTTTCAAAATCTTAGTATATTTCTTTTATAGACTAAACTTCAATGTGAATTTGAAAGTATAATTGTACAGAATCTTCAGTAATTTGGCAAGTGTCCCTTAGAATAAAGAGGGGGCAGCAGAATATGTCTGTAACAACATTTCCTGGCAATAATTGGCTGTGCAGTTGCTATGATAGTGTACTAAGTCTGTTAAATAGCTCATTTAGCAAATCCTTCAGAGGTGAGTAGAAAGGAACAGAGTCCTGGTCCCTTTGAGACTGGGCATATATGCATGTTACCATATACCTTATACCTATAATTATTATGTGGAGAGAAAAGGTGTTCATTTCTCATATATTCTCATTGAATTTTTCAGTGTAAGTCTGGCTTTGACTTTAAAAATATTTTTATATATTAAACTGGATAATAGTGTTTTTTTTTCTGGAGAGAATATTTCAGTTTCTTTCAGAAAGTCTAACTCTGGTCTTCTGAAAGAGAGTCCGTGTACTTTCTCCTGTTTCCATATTTTCTACAACACAAAGCAACAGTGAATGAAACTAAAGTACAGTTTGTCTGGAATGACTCAATTCTCTGATTGGCATGTTCCCAGTACTCTTCTATGTGATTCATCATGAGCTGAAGAGGAGTAGACTATGAGCAGTATATTGGAAACATTGTCTTTATCTCAAAAAGAAAGGGTAAGATTTCCAATACAACTCAATCTATTTTATTTATCTTTTCTCCCATTGAGGATCAGGTCATCTTTGTTTTCAGTTCTGAAAAACCTAAAATAACAGAAACATGTTTTCTTCATTGGTGTGAAGTTGGTAATAGTTTGTGTTTCTTTATCTTACTCTGGCTTCTGAGACTGGACAGTGTCTCCAGTTATCTACTTACTTCTTATTTACAAAGTGTAGGGTCTGAACAGAGAAGAGGAGTGGGCCCTCAGGACAGGGAGCCATTTTGCCATGAAGCTGCTCAGATAGTATGATACTAGGGATGAAATCAGTATTGTGGTTCTGCATAAACTTTCTGTTTACAATTCACCCTGTGGATTTGATTTAAGGGCTAATACAAAGAATATAAGACAGAAAGCAGCTATACTTAAATCTTAGAACAATGTATAGTACTTTGTTTACACTTTTATGAAATTTGTCCTGATTTATCTCATGATCTTCCTCCTCTGACTCTTACTGGCAATTATATTCTTTTCCTTTTCACTGTGACTCTTTACATAACTATGACAGATACGATTGCAGTACAGATACAGAGGTTATAACACTTGAAGCCCAAAGGCTTGGCTTCTGGCCCTGCGTCTTATCTGGCTGCTGTTGATAGATAACCAACATGGTCTTGGTAATTACAACATACTGTAATGGGTGCAGACTGGAATAGCACAAACTTGTCTTATTTGTGTATTTAAAAGTGACTGAATAAACAATGCTAAAAGAAAAATGAGACAAGTATCTATTATGGATGACAGAACTCAACAAATTCACACTTACAAACTTTAAAACAGAAATATATTAGAATACCACCCTCCACTATGTGAACCTACGTTGGTGTTCTGAGAAAATGATATTTGCATTGTGCTCTCTGTCCAGACAAAAAGAGAGACAAATGGTTTTAGAAAAGGGAAGTTCATCAGGCTTAACAGGGGGAACTTAGAGAAATAGAAACTGTCCAGTTGTGGTTATATAGAGTCAAGGGGTGAGACACAGCTGGAACGGTGGTGCTGGAAGCGAGAGTGAGTATCTCAGTTCCTGTGATTTGAAACCGTAATAATTTTATAGCACATGAATCATTTCATTTCACAAGCTCCCTTGTCCATTTATAGTGCTGAAAGGAAAAGGCAAAGAAAGAGAATATTGGAAAACTAAAGGTAAAAATCCAAATGCTGATCCTTGTTTTCTGATTCGAGACAGAAAAGACAAATCACTAAAGGCTGTCAGTGATTTTATTAATTAATTCCTGGAATATTCAAATTTCTGTTCTGTATTAATCACTAGATTAGATAGATAGATAGATAGATAGATAGATAGATAGATAGATAGATAGAAACACAATAGGTACATAGAGATATATGTGAATATGTTTGCTTGTAAGTATATATCCCAATGTGATTTATTGTACTTTTGCCACTAAATATTGTGAGATATTAGGACATAATAATTGTAAAATTTTGTGCCAAAAGAATCATAGCCAAACCCATATAATTATTAAAATAATCTTTTATAAAACAGAAGGAGGAAATGTAAATTTGCTATTCCTCTAGAAAATAGTTGAGAAGGAGAACTTCCACTCCTCTAAGACAGGGAATCCCATGGAGACATAAAACATGAGATGCCCTGCATGGTCATTCTTCTTTATTTGGCTGTTGACATCAATATTCCTAACAGACTTCCATTATGAATTTTGTATGTGTTTATTTGTGGAATCATGAATAATCATTCTCATTTTTGTTTGAAAATTGTTTATTCATTCAATTTTAGCACACCCAAAAAGGAAAGTTTCTGTTCTTCCACTTCACACTGATTACAAAACCTGCTTGTATATCACACAGCAGCCAGAGATGACCCAGGATCAGACGCAAAGATTTTGAGCTCCGTCTCTTTTAACCCATTTAATTTTTCAAGGCAAAGCTTAATTATTTTTAAGTATAAGGAGAGAGCAACAGATGTATGAAGCAGGAGAACACTGGGTTTTCACTACACCTAAGCTCTTCAGTACCTCCTACACAAAAATCATAAAATTCCACTGAATAACTCAGTATTTTTTATTTCATGAGATAAATGAAATTTGCTTTTGTTTTAATTCCTTTTATTTCTCTGTGGGTCTGTCTGTCTCTTTTTTCTCTATTTCTGTGACCATCTCTCTGTGTCTCTGTCTCATCTATCAGTCTCTCTTTTTTGCTCTGTGTATGTGTGTCTGTGTATGTATGTATGTGTGTGTGTGTGTCCGTGTGTATGCACGTGTGTAGTGTGGTAAAAGCCAAAGGGCATCATTCAGAAGTCAGTAGTTTTTTTCTTTCTGTAATGTAGATTCTAGGGATCAAGTTTAAATCGTCAGTCTTGGTGGAAGCACCTTTTCTTGCTGAGCATCTCACCATGTCCTTGTGAAAAAATCTTAATAGTGGGTGTTCTCATGATTTGCATGTTTCAATTTTATAATAAACTAATGAAAACACACTCAAAATTCATCACATTACTTTCATGAACCTCTTACAAGAAACCACTTATACCTCTAAATCTTTGTTTTGAAGTCAAGCTACGTAGGTGAGCTATATCGATTAGTTTACTTAGAACTCTATTTTTTCTTTTCATTAGATAACTTTTCTCTAATTCAAATATCATTGGAATCTACACCATTAGATGTGTTCTGTTTCAATGTTGCCTTCATTGCAGAAATGCTATATTTAAGATGCTATATAATTTTTTCTTTATGTTTTTATAGTTAGAAAAACAAAAAAGTTGTTTTTTTTTTACCATGTGGCCACTAGAGAAACTCTATCAATATTTTTAAGGTTGATATTATCTCAGCTACTTGGAAGAAAAATTAGGGTTGAAAGAATTTAAAAATTGAGCAAATAAACAACTTGAAATTCAGGATTTATGAAAGGGGAGACCATGACTGAAGACCCAGTCATGAAAGTCATCATAGCAATGGCACAGTGGTTCTTAATCACATCTGTATAAGCTTATATCGATTTCACTAACCTTTACAGAAACCCTGCAGAGGGAGATTGTTGTATTTTGCTTCATTATTTGTCAATACTCTGGTGCTCAAGTTTTATATCTCTAGTGGGCAGAGAAGTGGTATTCAAGTGTGCTCAAAGAAGTGGCACACGCCTCTCACTTAACCTCACTGAAAACACCTAGAATCTGGCTGGAAACTTATTTTTGTCATTTGAGGTTTTAATTCATCTTTAAGTAATTTCAACTTCTAACAATTACATCACTTAGGACATTGTTCTTTTCTTTCTGAAGATAATTTATATTCTTCTAATGCTAACCAATAGTACCTTAAATAACTAATTAATTGATTTACATTTATCTGTTTTTCTTGAAAAGAGAATTATTTTATACAGTGTATGCTGATTAGTTTTCCTTCCCCCAATTCTTCTCAGAATAGATCCACCTCCTAACCCTCCCAAATCCACACCATATCTTGTTCACTCTTGTAGGCAGACAAAGAATGTTTGTTCATTTCCTGACCACCCAGAACTGAAATAATCACACAGGAACTATATCAATTGCAACCCTGTTTGGCCAATAGCTTAAGTGTATTTATTATTAGCTCTTACATCATAAATTAACCCATTCCTATTGTTTTTTGCTTTTTAACCAGGAGGCTTATGGTATACCAGTAAGATACCAGCTGGTGGCAAGTGTGTATGTATCTCCTTAGCACTTACATTGTATCTCAATTGACTCTGCCTTCTTTTCTCCTCTGTCTCAGCTTAGAATTCCCACCTTACTCTATTCTGTCCTGTCATAGAGCCAAGAAGCTTCTTTATTCAATTGTCAATAAAAACAACACATATACAGAAGGATTTCCCACAACACACTCTCCTTAGAAAACAAATTGTTACAAAAAGGAAGAATAAGACTGTAAAGTAAGATAAACATAAAAACAAACAAACATCATGAGACAAAACAAACAAACAAACACAAAAAGAAAGAAGCCAAGACTCAAATGTTACAAGGTCGGCTTTGTACAAGTAATTTTGATTTTTTCTTTGAAACAAAAGACAATCCTGGAAGAGTAAAAAAAATAGTGTTATATTTTAAAGAATGCTTTGTAGGGCTAAATTAAAGTAGAGGCATTATCAAACTGTAATATATGACATGTGAAGATGTCACAACAAAAGAAATAATTACAAATATAACTAAATCTCATTCTTTATTAACAAATATCTTTATTTTGCTAGATTAATGTCCATTCAAACAAATATCAAGATTGAGAAATTACTTTACAAAGATGAGAAGATGTATGACATTTTCAGGAAAATATGAAAATGTAAGTTATTTATGGAAAATTTTGTATAACTCTAATGAAATATATTTTTATTTTTAGCAGCCAATTAATGTAAAAGATGATATCACAAGAAATTTTTTTTAGAAACTTAGCTTTTCTGAAAATAAATTATGGCCACACTTGTATGTAAGATATGTATGCAGACCCACAGATACAGATACACTAATAAATCTCTGCAGAAGTATATATATACTCAAGGTATTTCTGTCCATACAGTAAAAGTGTAAATCCATTGTCAGTTATATTACAATTCTCTTTAATGTTTTAATTTGCTTTGATTATTTCATCATGACATGATTTATTGCAAAGTAAGTTTATAGTTAACCAAGTTATATAAAGTATTGAAAAACATTAATGTTTACCAATAACAATGATTCCTTTAGCATTAGGTAACATTCTTCATGTTTCAGAAATTGTTGTTTTATAAAATTATTATTTATAAAGAAAAATTACAAACTGTATGTTTCTCAAAAGAAACTATGTTTATAATTTGACATCTTTAAATTTCAGTTAATATTTAAGACTGCAAATTATAAAAACATATGGTCAGTTAGATGCAAACAGAGAAGAGATCCTGATGACATGAAATCCATCCCTGCACTGTTATGATGGAAGGAGAAAATTACATCCTCTGTCCTTCACATGAATGTGACAGCATCAGTGGACATGCATACACACACACACACACAAAGATAAACACATGAATTGACATAATCAAACATGATAATAATTTTATAGACATTATAAGTAAAAGTGATGAAATGAAATTACATTGATCATTTTTTTCAATCACATTGGTACAAAGATTTAAATAAGCAATTAAAAGGCTATACAAAACTTAACATTACAACAATGTAGTTTTTCAAATACTATTGAAAATAATTTATATGTATATATAGTCATAAATAATTTTAAAAATGTTTTTCATGTTCATAGATATCAAAAATTTTAATAAAAGCTCAAACTTAAAGGTAGAAAAGTTTGATATTTAATGGAATAAGCTTAGATGTATTAAAAACATAATATAGTTTTGTTTGATTATAACAAACTCAAATTATTGTACAAATCCTTATTTTATCATAGTAACAGTTACATGGTATTGTGAATATAAGAGGTAATTTTGAAATATGACTAAATAAATTTTTGTAGAGTATAATTTATCCAGGAATTAAATGACTAAAGGATAAAAGACACAAAAATGTGATATGGGATGTACTTCTGTATATGTGTTGCTTGTTTTTATTGGTTGATGAATAAAGGTATTTTGAATGGTTTAACAGTTTAAAGCCAGGCAGGTAATCTAAACAGAGATAGAGAGAGAGTAGGTGGAGTCAAAGAGAGGTTATGTAGCCACATAATGCAAACATTACTAATAAGCCAGTCTTGTGGCAATACGTAGATTAATAGAAGTGGGTTAATTTAAGATGTAAGAGCTGACTAGGAATATACCTGACCAAACAGTGCTATAATTAATATAGTTTCTGCTTGATTCTTCAGCTTCTGGCATCCCAAAAATGAAGGTGCAGTCTCTGTTTACCAAGATGAAAGAATTGAATTGAGATTTTTATTATAATGGAACCATTAATAGTAGTTGTTAATTGTATTAAATAGTGCCTTTCAAATTATACAGGAAGAGAATTAAGCAATGGGGTCTATGTAAGTATGCATGTACTCATTTCTTCATATACACATATATATCCCTGTACCCTTGAAGGTTCTCATTTCCTGAAAACATTCAGAATGAAGTAGAGGAAATATTTGTGCTCATACCCATTAACAAACACATACTTTTCCTAAGTTTCCAGATCACTAAGTCATTTTTTCAAAGACAGAACAAATTCTGCACTTTGGTACATCAGCGGGAATCAAAGCAGAATTAAACAACACTCATTTTTTTCATTCCTGAAATTCAAAACTTTGATCCAGTTCAATAAACTTTTGAGTCAATTTGAGATCTAAGTATCTATGTTGAAATTTTAAACAACAGACATTGGGGTAATTGAAATCTTCAGGGCTATCATGACAAAGAAAACTGAGACAAATAACCTGGGATAGACCAATTGAATCCCAAGTTTCACTGATCAAAATATGCTATTTTTTTCTTGGCAGGTTAAAAATTTGTCAGACTCTTCTTATCTACTACAACCACTGATATGATGCATAACAATAGTGTGACTGAATTCATTTTGTTTGGGTTGACACAGAATCCAGAAAAACAGAAGGCAGTATTTGGAGTCTTCTTGATTCTTTACCTTATGACACTAATTGGAAACTTTCTCATTGTGGTGACCATTAAGAAAAGTAGGACACTTGACAGCCCCATGTACCTTTTTCTCTTCTATTTGTCCTTTGCTGATGCTTGCTTCTCTACAACTACAGCCCCTAGATTGATTGTGGATTCCCTCTCTAAGAAAAAAACCATTACCTATAATGAATGTATGACTCAGGTCTTTGCAGCTCACTTCTTTGGGTGCATGGAGATCTTTGTGCTCATCCTCATGGCCTTTGATCGCTATGTAGCAATCTGTAAGCCTCTAAGATATACAACCATAATGAGCCAACGTATCTGTGGTGTATTAGTGATTTTTGCCTGGGTAGGTTCTTGTATCCACTCTTCAGCACAGCTTTTCTTGGCCTTAAGACTACCATTCTGTGGCCCAAATGTGATTGATCACTATTTCTGTGATTTGCAGCCCTTGCTGAAACTTGCCTGCATGGATACCTATGTGATAAATTTGCTAGTTGTGTCTAATAGTGGTGCCATATGCATGGTAAGTTTCCTAGTACTGTTTATCTCCTATATTGTCATTTTATACTCTCTGAGAAACCACAGTGCAGAAGGAAGACGAAAGGCCCTTTCTACTTGCACTTCTCATTTCATTGTGGTAGTCTTATTTTTTGGTCCCTGTATATTTATATACACACGTCCACTAACCACTTTTCCAGTTGACAAGATGGTGGCTGTGTTTTATACAATTGGAACACCTTTGCTCAACCCTCTTATCTATACTCTGAGAAATGCAGAAGTAAAAAATGCAATGAAAAAAATGTGTGGTAATGACTTCAATTGATAAACACTGTACTAAAGTGTTTATAGTATAAACACTATACCGATTCTAAAGTATAACACCTTTACAGTTTAGCTTCAATATAGGGACTGAAAATATACAGAATATCTGAGAGTATATAATCAAGATATCTCTCATACACGCACACGTGTGTGTGTGTTTGTATAATACTTTGGAATCAGTGATATGTCTTACTAGGTAAATGCTCTTCAATCAAGTCTAATTACTTGAGTGCAATCCTTGGAACATACATGGCTAACGAGACAATAAACTTATGTCCTCTGACCTCCTCACATGTGTCCTTTTGAATACAGATACATAAATAAGCAAATAAATAAACAAGAAATAAATAGATAAATATATTCAACAAAAATTCTAAAAATCACAATCTGATTAAGTTCTCACTTATGGATAGAAAATTAATAGATAATTAAATATGTAAATGTACATGAAGTTGCTGGGTGGGTGTATATTCTGCTTCATCTTATGGATGTTTGGAAGTCTTAAAGAAGTTTGTCTTGGGGCTGGAGAGATAGCTCAGTGGTTAAGAGCACTGCCTGCTCTTCCAAAGGTCCTGAGTTCAATTCCCGGCAACCACATGGTGGCTCACAACCATCTGTAATGAGGTCTGTTGCCCTTTTCTGGCCTGCAGACATACACACAGACAGAATATTGTATACATAATAAATACATAAATATTAAAAAAAGAAATTTGTCTTGACATTCCTAACTATAAACACTTGTTACAAGAGGAAGTTATCCCTTGCTATCACTGAGGACATCCTCTTATCTGTTCAAAGTACCCCTTCTTTCCACTCAGGCTGCTTTCTGTAAAACTTCTATATGGTTCCTCATGAAGAGTGAATGGCAAATGACTATATCACTCTAGCCCTGAGAAACACTGTTAGTAATGAACACTGTCAATATTGAATAGTGTCAACCAGAAATTTTTATTTGTATCTTTTATAAAGTCAACAAGAAACTAATCTTGCCTAAATTTTTATGATCTCAAATCTTTAAATCAATCAGTGGGTTGGGTTTTATGCTAATTAATTGTATTAACAGAGTGATAGTCCTTCACAGAGTGATGTGTGCTTTTCCAAGTGTATATGGATGTAAGTGTCTGTGTGTGTGTGCATATGCAGAATTTGAAGCGAAGATAAATCACATCTTTACGATTCTCACTATTACCTACTGATCAAGAGTTTTCCTCTAACTGCTTTATTTTGGAGATTAATATATTTTTAGTATACTGTCATCATAGAAGTAGGCAGGGTGGCTGCATAATATTTTGCAATTTCATATAGAGTTCAATCAAACTTTCAAATTTAATAATTAATAGCATAAGTGTTAATGTATAAATACGTTGACTATGATATGGTGATTTATTTCAATTGACAAAGGAGTTATACATTAGTTACATGATAAAAGCTGCACTATTAACTAAAAAAATAATAATTTATTTTTGTTTTGTGGCAGGATCTCACCATATAAATCTGTATGTCCTGGAACCTATTTTGAACACAAAGATGGCCTCAAACCCAGAGACATCCTCCTGCCTCTGCTTCCTAAAAACTGAGAGTAAAGGTATGAGTCACCATGCCCAAACTTCAAAAGTAGTTGTAATTATGTTTACTAAATTGTAAGCACAGGGGCAGGTGATTTAAATTTATATGATGAACTAAGAAATATTTTAACAGTAAGAATTAGCTTATAACATACATACTCTTTGTTAGCCTATCTTTATCCAGTTAGTAATCCTTACATATTAACCAAATATAAGGTCATATTTCTCACTTTAAGATGCTTTTCAATATTTATATTTTGTGATTAATACCCATTAAAAGTAATTATGAGGTTATTTTAAAAAGTTTCAAATAATAATATTAGTTCTAATTATTTCCATTACTGCTAAATGGAATGATAAGTATAAAATATATAAATATATTATCATAAAACATTTCTAAAAGTTTTTTGAAATTTGCCCTGTAATTGAGAAGAAATGGAAAAATGAAAATTAGTTTAATACTCATTCAATTTTCTGCTTGAATGCACTACAAAAACAAAAACAATAAAAAGGACACTATCAGTGTTGTGAAATAAGTTTCATCTTTGGGTCACTTTGACAGGTGATAATGACCTTTGTCTTCTAACAACCATATAGGCATTTACATGCCTCCCATCTAACAGTTTCCTTCCACTATATGTATGTTTTATTTTCCTCCACTTGTTGGTCTCTTTCTTGAAAATGTCATATTTACTACTTATTTCTCATTTATTTATTTATTTATTATCTATTTACTCATTTATTTCTCCTTTTAGATTTTTTTTAGTCCACAGATTAGCATGTGGTTATTTGTATTATAATTCTTTTATAAATTATTGGTTTCCTTGTACTTATAATACTGATTTACAAAATTAATTACTTATCCTGAAGAAATCACAAGTAAAGTATTATCTGTAATTTCACCCCTGAGTAAAAATCTTCACAGTCCCCCCAAATAAAGTACCTTCCTAAAAGTCATCATAGAATTCTACTTCTGTGATATTAATAATTTCTTATATTTGGGTTATTATTAATTAATAACTTACTTAATTATTTAAATAATTTTAAAACTGTAATTTTATCATTACTTAGAGAAAACAGATATATTGAGATAAAGAATAGTGACATTAACTGGGGTCATAGCTCAGTGGTAGAACACTTATCCATGATGGGAAAGATTAAGTGGTCACTCCCCATTTTGTTGGGAAAAATAATGGCCGAAAAGGAAGACAGAATATAATGATGCTGGGTGGCTTTATTGAAAAAACAACACTCAGTCTCACAGTCAATGTTTTATTCATGCAAATTTATTGACCATATTGATGAGTTCATAAACATAGTTTCAACAACTGTATCATATACTTTAACCATATTCTAAACTCTATTCACCCCACTTTATCTCTCAATATTTTACCCATGTCTTTTTCTTTCTTTTGAATAGCTCCACTTTTCATTTCTGTTACATATATATTGCCTTTTTCATGGTTTAATATATATTAACCTAGGCACATATGTTATAGTTGCACTCACTCAGGGGATCAAATGTTAGCATATTTTTGAGAGCAGTTAGAAGAAAATAATGTGCTTCATGTCTTGTAGGTAGGTGTTGAACACAAGGTGTATGTTAGACAAAAAGGCAATAGAAAGATGGACTAACATAATTCTAAATGAAACAAAGAGATGCTAAGGTATTAGTAAGTCAAGTAAAGGTTCAATGCTGAAAAATTTATAAATCCTATAGTTTATATAATTGAAATTATACAATTTATCTTGTATAGCTACAAACATAAAATATCCTTCTGATTTCTAGGGAAGGTAGGGCAGTTTTATTCATTACTCATTTCTGAAAGACTACTTCATATGAGAAATCTGAAACTTAGCATAAAAGTTACTTGAAAAAAATTTCTAATTCCTCCAAAGTTTCTTCATAGCATTTTTCATCTCTGAATTCCTCAATGTGTAGACAAAAGGATTCAGCATGGGTGTGACAATTGAATCTGACACAGCCATGGCCTTGTCTATGGGGTAGGTAGACACAGGCCTCACATATAAGAAAATACATGGCACAAAAAACAATACAACCACTGTGAAGTGAGAACCACATGTGGAGAGAGCTTTTTGTCGCCCTTCAGAGTTATGAGTCCTTAGAGAACATAGGATAATTATGTAAGAGATAATTAGAATAAGGAAGATGGCCATACACATCACCCCACTGTTGAAGATGACAATGAGACCCAGGGTCTGGGTGTCCATACAGGCCAATGTCAGCAACTGAAACAAATCACATATAAAGTGATCTATGACATTGGGACCACAGAAAGGTATTTGATAAATGAATAGAAGCTGAATGGTTGCATGTGCAAACCCCCCTACCCAAGCACCTCCCAAAAGCATGCAGCACATATGAGTACTCATGATGGTTCTGTAGTGAAGAGGTTTACAAATGGCCACATAGCGATCGTAGGCCATCATAATGAGAAGAATAATCCCCACACCTCCAAAGAAATGCTCTGCGAAGAGCTGAGCCATGCAGCCTTCAAAGGAGATGGTTGTATGTTTAGAAAATGAGTCTACAATCAATTTGGGGGCAATGACAGAAGAATAGGTGATATCCAAAAGGGACAAAAAAGTGAGGAAAAAGTACATTGGTGATCTCAGACTCTGACTTGTGATCATGGTCACTATGATGAGCACATTTCCCAGCACCATGATCACGTACATGAATAGAAACACAGCAGAGAACAATTTCCGCAAGTGCCAGTTCTCTGTAAGACCCAAAAGTATGAACTCTGTCACATTGTTTTGATTTCCCATTTATTTTGTGATTAGCATTCCAACTCATAGTTGTTGAACCTAAAAAAAGAAAGTTTAATTTAAAATTAATCATCTGTGTGCTTCCAGGTCATAAATTCTCATATTGGCTTACTGTACTGCTAACCATTCTGCCATATAAGGTAGAAGAAATATACTTTGAACTCTAGCCATGAAGGCCTGTATGGTGACAAATGACTATAATGTCATCACTTGAAACTTTGAGCCAGAAAGAGCAGAAGTTCAAGACCAAAGTCATCCTTGACTGCATAGTAGTTTGCTCCTGATTAATCTAAATGAGACTGTCTCCCAACAAAACTGTTCTTTCAGGTTAAAAAGGTTCTTCTCTTCTTTTAAGCTTATGTTAATTATCAATGGGCAACATTTTTGGGGAAATAGTTTTAGGACAGGGTTTCTCTGTGTATCTTTGGCTGTCCTTTACCTCACTCTGTAGACCAGCCTCAAACTCACAGAAATCTGTCTGCCTCTGGTCTCTGAGTGCTGGGATTAAAGGAATGCACCACCATACCCCAACTTAGTGTGAAACTTTTGTCCTACATGGGTGTTTAGGCTTCATTTGAAAAATAAAAGACTGAGGTACAATCAGTTTATAAATATTGTGATGTCAGCATATGTCCAGGATTTGCTGACCATTTATGTAAGAAAATTTAGCAAATTGCGCTATTCTTTTGTTTTTTAATGATAATATTTTCTATAGAATTTATTTTGATTATAATTTTCCCTTCCTCTACTATTCCCTATGAATCCCCTCTTCCCCTACCATCAGGATCAACCTCTTTTTTTCTCTCTCCTTAGAAATCAATCAGGCATTTATGGGATAATAACAAAATTAAATGAAACATAAAATAAAAACCAACAAGTCAAAATGGAAAATCAAACAAATAGAAGGAAAAGCAATCAAGAAAAGGTACAATAAAAAAACACAAGAGAAGTATGAAGATGAAGAGACACACTTTTGTGCACAATCAGAAATCTAATAAATACATAAAACCGGAAGCCATCATATATACGCAAAATCTATAGGGAGAAAAGATAGATAAATAAGATAAAATCAAAATGTAAAAGCACTGACACATGATAACGGGACAGGGAACCTCCAATGATGCCATTTCCAAGAAAACTTTAGCTATACCACTGTCATTTCCTGCTTTCCTTCTATCTCTGAAATTATATACTTACTGCATATTATTATCCAATACCTAAGTAACACTGATCAATGATGATTAATTCCCATTTTGAGAATAAATGTAAGAATGGGAAGCTGATTTTCTTGCTTGGAATTATATAATTTTTGTGTTGTAGATTCAGCATTTTATAACAAAAGTAATGAAAGAAGAGATCATAAATTTGAGATGGGCACAAGAAGAATTACAGGGTAATAGAAGCGTATGAAAATGATATGAATACAGTTATCACCCATTAAATTCTCAAAAAATGTAAAAGAAGAAAGAAAACAGGAAGCATTTTGTAAATTGTCCTACTCTTAAAAAACTTTCTTTTTCCCATCACCAACTTTGCCCAGTCCACCTGTAAAACCTATTTACTTTTCTCTTCCCAGCAGGTGGGAGGCATGGAAGAGAGAGAGTATTCAAAGAGATGCCTGAAGCCAGCAAGGTAGAGTCTTAGAGCAATGGAAATTCCCAGGAATCTACATAGCTGACCCTAGCAAAAATTCCTACTAGTGAAGAATAGAGTCTGAAACTTCTGTAACCAGGCAAGGATTTTCTAGTGGAGGGAATGGGACATCAATCCAGTCACAAAACCTTCCACCTACAATTTATCCTTCCTGTAAGATGGGCTTTGGCACAGGTGCCTAGAACTTGTGGAAGCTGCCAACCACTGACTTGTTCAACTGAAACCATGCCTGACATTATCTGCAGGATTATAAACCTGGATAGCTCAAAGATCTAGGATAAAAACAAACAGTTTCTTTTTTAAAAAAAAAAAAAAACATGAAACGATTCCCAATAATACTCTACTATACTTGTAGACCACAGCCTAGTCTAATGATCATAGAGAACAGAAAATATTCATCAAGCAACTGAAGGGCAGAGCAGAGGCAAAGACAGAGACACTCAACTAAACATTAGGCATAGTTCCGAGCTTGGGGATGCTGTGCAAGAAGGAGATGAAAGATTGTAGAAGTCAGAGGAGTCAAGGAAACACGAGAAAACACAGAACCAACTAACCTTGTCTCCTAAGCACTCACAGAGTCAGAAGTAACAATCAGGAAGCTTTCAGGAGTCTGATCTAGGCCTTCAGCATCAATGCTACTGTTGTATAGGTTGGTGTTCTTATAGGACACTTAATAGTGGGAGTGGAGACTGTCTCTGACAATTTTGCCTGTGTTTTGGATCCTATTCCTTTTATTGGGTAGGTTCATCTAGCCTTAGTATGAGGTGTGCCTAGTCTTTTTACAACATGATATTCTATGCTTGGTTGAAACTTGTAAGAGGCTTGTCATTTTTTAAAGAGGAAGAGAGGAGGAATAGATCTGAAGAAGAAAGAAGATAGAGATAGAGACTTGGAAGATAGAGGGTGGGAAAGCTTTGGTTTGTATGTAATGTACGAGAGAACAATAAATAAAATAAATAAAAAATAGCCTTCTTTTTTAAAAGTCTACTCCATTAAAAAGAAACAAAGTCAGTTAACTCTAAGCTTTATAAATCTAATCTCCGGAAGTATTTATTCAAACAAAGATGAATTAATTGCACCAGTTTTTTAGATATGGTATATGTCTGTGAGAACAAAACTCATAAACTAAAAATAATGCCAATAGAAATAAATGTACTGAAGGAATTTAAGAAAAATACTGACTTAAGGCAAGTCTGAGAACAACCTGGACACATTGTGAGACCCTTACCCAAAATAAAGACACTAATAAAAACATAAAATTATTTTGGTATTTGAGAAATAGAACACAAGCAAAACAGTTAGAAAAGCAAATATATAAATCAAGTTAAGAAAAAAGATAGATACTGTGAAAGACAAAAACCAACTAAGATAAACTTTAAAAAATAAGCCTCATTGGTAAGCATGTCCCTCTGAGTAGAAACTTTTATTCTTTATTCAAGAAATTTAATTCATTATAAGCCATTGATAATGGCACTGGGACTTGTTTCCTCTGCATCTTCTGGATTTTTGGGATCCTAGTCAGTTTGGATGCTCACCTTCCTAGACCTGGAGGGAGGGGGGAGGAACTTGAACTTCCCACAGGGCAGGAAACACTGACTGCTCTTAGGGCTGGAGAGGGAGGAGGAGAGGGAGTGGGGGGAATGGGAGGGTATTGGGAGGAGGGGCAGAAGTGGAAACTTTTATAAATTAATAAAAAAAAGAAATTTAATTCAATAAAACTTGTCATATTTTAGCAAATATTAATTATTTAACAATTTAATATATTGATTGTATTGAACTCTTCCCCCTAACTTCTCAAAGATATGGCTTCATATTCCTACACAGCTACCCTGACTTCATGTCTTTCTTTTCTAATTTTATAACTCACTGACTCCAGTTTACAACGCCATGTCGTTCTAGTTGTAGGCCCATCCTGTGGAACTTGTTTGACCTACTAAAAGCTGCAAAGTTAAAAAAAAAATAGACTGTCCCTTCTCTTTAATCCATTAAGTGCCAATAACTCCTCAGTTAATGGTTAGGGCTCATGAACCCCTTTACACTTCATTCTATAAGGCACCTCAGTTAAGGGTAGGGGCTCATGAACCCCTTCACACTCCATGCTAGAATGCTGAATTGATCTTGTGTTAGTAATAACTTCTCTGAGCGCATGAAGGCTGTAAACCTGTCTTGTACAGAAATTTCTACAAAACTCCAGAACAACCACTCAAGGGCAGGGCACTCATCATATTTTAGAAGTAGTTTCTATACTCTAATTCCATAAAATGATGAGATCTGTACATGAAATTTTAATCTAATTAATAGTCCTTTTCTACCCAGAAAATCAGTATTTCACCTGGTGTGCCTTATTCTCATCTGGTCCCAGAGATGTTTTCACCCTTGGGGACACACTATTATTATAGCTGGTGAATGAAAATGCATAAAACTAAAGTAATATCTTCACCATTGTAGAATGATGAATACATGACTGTTTTCACAACTCTTTGGAAATGGGGAACAGGTCAAGTTTCTCAGATACCGTATAGGGTAATCTGTGATCTTCTAAAATTCAGCCACATTTCATTGACATGAAACAAACTTTCTCAGAGAAGATAGAACTAGTGAATTATCCCAGTTTATTTTTTCTAACCATGTGGAAATCTAGGAATATAAACGAGGGAGTTCCACCAATTATCCATTTTTTATCAAATGTGTAGACCAGAACTTTTATTGTGTCCATAGAAAGAATTAGAAAGAACTTTGAGACTCTCTGAGCCTACAAGAGACATAACCTTCCTAGGTCACTAAGTGATATATTGTCTTACAAATGAAGAGCAATTACTAAAGAGAAGCCAAATGGAAACTTACCAATTCATTTCATATTCTCTTTCTATTTTCAGATGATTGTATTTGTGGATGAGAGTAGAATGTTTTATTTAGCTTCTTCTGAGAAATATTATGAATATCTGTTCTCTGGGTATTATCTAGGACTGTTAAGAGCATAGGGGGCTTGCTTGAAGCCGACTTTCTTCATCCCAGATTCATCCCTTGAGGCTGATTCTACAATGATGAAGATACTAATTCAGTTTTAACGCATTTTCATCCACCAACTGTAATAACAGTGTGTTCTCAAGGGTGGAAACTTCCCTGGAGCCAAATCAAAATAAGATATCAGCAAGTGAAATATTGAATTTCTGGGTAGAAAAGTGTTATAGATGTGTCCATATTCATATGTGAAATATAAATACAATGTGAGAAAGAAGAAATAATATAACTTAGATCTCTGTCTATGAAGTTATTTCATTTGCATTGATTCTACAATTTAATTGGCATATATCACTATATATGCAATAACTTGCTGTGTAATAGCATTTTCATAATAGTGTACA